GATATACAAAAAGCTTCTGTAATGTATACGTAATCATTGTCTGTTATACAAAGAAAATGATAATGAATTTTGTAACAATTGTTTACTGGACAGATTAACAAACATACCCTTAAAGTTAACAGCGGATAAACAGAATCTAACTGATACCATATTAATATGTAATAAGATTTCACTCAAGGTTAAAATACGCTGTACTTTTAAACAAAAATTTTTACACAATAAAAGTGTAACCAAATTATGTATGAAAATTTCGCTGCCTTAGCATTTTTATTGAATTAACTAGAATGATGACGAGTTGTGAATTTATAAGTAAACTTTATAAAAAAATATATGTCGTGATTTTTCAGAATCTAATCTTTCATATATCAAGATTTCAAGTGTTATTATATAAGTTTCTGAGGAATTGATTTTTTTTTGGCAAATTATAATTTTTCGGTCAAACCTTTTATTTTTTTTTTTTAACTGTTATTCTCTAAAACTTGAAATTTCACATACGTATTCTTGACGATCGATAAAAATTATTTATATTTTATTATGTACGTTTTTATGCAATAAATTGTTTTGTGGTAAGCGAAACTTTTGTTCAGGGAGTGTATCACGTCAGCTCCATCCAAAGTAGTACTACCGTTTTTGCTACAGCGTTCAACAAATTTTGTCGAACTGAAAATGAATGAACAGGTTTTTTAACAGATTAATCAATAATAAGAATTTTGACAATATAAAGATTAGGATAATTCCTGCCGTGAACGGGTAATTACACAGCAAAAAGCTCCCACAACTTTTTCGCGCGCAAAATAATCATTCAACGCTAGACCAAACTAAAATTATTGATTTTGTTGATAAGGTCAAATTTGGAAAAATAATGGGCGTTAATATTTCTAAATTTGGGATAACCATTGTGAGGGACGCCCGATAATTTTTTAGTTAGTTCCACGAAACTTCGCATCGTCATCCTTTACAAAGAAAAATCTTTTATTAGAAAACATTTGGGCGAGACGTTATAATCATATTGATAGTAAAATTTATGAATTTTAATTGGAAAAAATAATAAAATAAAAGTAACGATTAATTTAATGTTAAAATTTAATTAATTGATAAACTTCTAATTCTTCGTACGCACTACCATTTGCTATATTAATAGTATTATAAGCGGTCGGAGTGCAACTAACAGTGTTATTTCCATTAAATTGAATATCGTGACCGTTACCAAAAGTAGGTAAATAACTGGGAGTACAATAGATGCCAGATTGATTATTACTAATTACATAACTATGATATTTTGTAGAATTAGCATCATTTCTATTACTAATATGAAAAATAAAACTTTCATTTGTACTTTTATATTGACTTCCACTCCAACTAAGCGGATTATAACCGCCAATGATTTGTTCGTTGCTTCGTATTTTAGCAATCACAAGAGTTTTGTTGATGTCATCACATTTTTGATGAAATACTGTTGCATTTAAACCATCTCTACTGCTACGATATAACAGTTTAAATTTGTATTTGACATCATTGAATGAAGTATATATTGGGCTTTTTTTATCAATCCAGCTTGCAAAAAGTAATGTAATCTTTTGATTGATAATGAATTGTTGAATCTTTGAAGTTCTAGATGATAATAGACTTAAAGATGGTTGATCTTCGGGAACAATATAATAGTTTAAAAGTTTTAACCACAATTCCTTTGGGAAAAGCATTTGGTATGGCACAACTTTA